TAGATGAATGAGTAAGCAGAATGGGAAGGTACAATTCTAAATTGCTGATTGTCTTCCCAAAAAAATCAAATGCAAGGCAGATGACTAGCAGAGTACTTTTGCTTTCATTCGAAAACGTAGCTTTTTGCAGTTACAACAAATTTAATGAATAAGCAATATTTTCATAATGCTGTGAATAAAATTTCCATGTGATTACAAAATAAAGAAGGAATATTTCGTGGTCAAGCTTCAGTACTGAGTTATGACCAGATTTTCCATCGGTTGGCCAATGGCATTCTCGCCACGTCAAACAGCATTATCCATGAACCGGAAAGGGCTTCTAATTGCTTTTTGGACATGTTTCGGAACGCGTCGTTGAGACCAAACTACGAATGAGTGGTCGCCATCAACAAGTTCCGCGTACGCCTCTTTTCACTTACCTTCCAAGTTATGTTCTTGCCCTCCAAGTCTTTCCTCATCTTCTCGTACTGGTCCTCGTAATAGCCGGCGAGGGTCATGGAAAACAGACATAAAAGCACGAGCATCAACATCGTTGGCTAAAGCCGTGCTACCGCGACGGGTCGTCTAGCTGGACTATTTCAGATGGCTGCTGTCGACGACGGTTCTATTACATGCCTGTTTACGGAGGTCGATAGCTGCCGGCGCTCGGCTGAGTCTACCGGACGTTACTCATATACTCATATACCGCACTAAGAGGCGGAGTATTTTAGAACACTGTAGATGAGCACTTGAAGAAGCGCTTGAGTGGCAACGCGAAGGCGAACAGACATCAGATGCACATTTTTTGTCCTATGGCTTTCTTTCTTCATACACTCACTCCTCCGCGCCTGTCACTCAAAACTTTTCGAGAAAAGTGTCGTGGTGCTTATTGCTGCTGAACGGTAGAGTGGGCAGAACAGAAGCCATTTTTTATTCTGCTTTCAGTTTTATTCTATGACGTGCTTCCTCAATGTTCATTCTATCAGTCTTTGGTCGGTCACACAGAGGAGGTCACTGGCTTCCGATAGCACCCTCATGTCATTTGTGCTGAAACGAGGTCTGAGACGATCCAGTTTGTGAACATTTTCGAGTGTCTAACTCTGAAATTTGCTACTTCTCGAAGATACAAAAACACCCCTAGTTTAGCATATTCCCAAATTACTTGCATTTCTCTTTATCAGTTGTTGTATATGCGCATCTGACCAACTTCAGTATCTCGAGGTTGAAAAATTATTTTCTTCGGTGGCATAATCTAACCGCCAGATTAGCCGGATCCTGGAATACAATCAGATCAGTCAGTGCGTGAATCAAACAGATAATAATTTGCAGGTTCCTGATTGTTTCTTATCAGAAGTTTCAGTTATCATTTTAGACAACAAACGCCTCAACATCGAATTAGCATATAATGAGAAAATTAGCGATTAAGTCGTAAATTTATTCCTATTTGCTGCTAATTCCATTGAGCAAGAAATTAACCTCAATGAAGTTCAGGGCACCAGCCGAAAAACAGGTAGTATGTCGTTGGCATGCGAATGCTATAGACAGCATTTTACTTGCTGTGGCCATGCCAAGGTCTGTGAGACATACTCCCAGTTGTCTGATACCTACGGTTCTGGTTGCTCTTAGTCTTGACCCATCAAATAGCTGACTAAAAATCAGCACAAGTTGTAAGCGTAAATTGAAAAATTTAAGTAGTTACGATTATTTTAAACAACCTGTCGTAGTTGTAATCTTTCCATCTAAAGAAGGCGCATTACATAAGAGAGGTTTTGTCGAACTGCATTTTTTCAGACTTTGTCGAGCTTCGTAACACGATCAATCCTTTATAACCACATTTGTGCCGCTGCTATCCGGAACTTAACTTTGTCGGTAGATATTCATCAATCATATCTATAGATAAGAGTGAGTCGTACACACATACTTGGCGTGAATTCTTACGTATTTCGGTGAATCATCAGCTCATCATCAACATGATTTGATGATTTGAGCACACATTTCGATTTCCACAGTTCAGGTCAGATATGTACAGAATTCTACATGAAATCGTGTCATTCAGTTCCATTAAAATTTAGACGTTATGGTCAGTTCTGTGCAGCAAATTCAGTAATGATACATGATCATATGATGAGTGGGAAGCGTAGCATGCAAACATCCGTTAAGTCTTGCGTACTTCGGTTTTGATGCAGCAGACTGCTTAAATCTGGCAAGATCTGGACGTGATCATGTTTTATTGAAAGCAGTGACAGACGATGATAATTCCACTGACTGTTGGAATGTTCGATGCCATGCCTAGACCGAATTATTCATACGCAGCTTGTTGTTCTTTGCGGTCATACCTGGTCGACAAAGCAACGCTAAAGCTCACATTTGCTCGATGGCCTTTTTAATATTTCACTAAATGTCTTCCCAGTAGTTAAGTATTTGGTGCCCAATGAAGCAGGCTGCCTTCAGCAACATCACGGAAATGTTAAGGAATGTCTTACAGTAAAAGCAATTTATGATGTCGAGGTGATAACTTCAGATTAACATCGGGCAGCGTTCACTGTTCAGGCACAGGTCTGCCTTAACTAGATTTTTTTGACATTTTGTATTGTCCTACAGCGTGTCTGCTACCAGTGCGTGGTTCGAAAGCGAGAAAAGTTATGAATAGATTTCCGTTCTCTTTTTGGGCCGTTTTGTCAAACCATGCCAGACACCTGTTTCTGAGTTCATCTGATAGTTTTCTCAGACCTTTGAAGGATAGTTGATAGACAGCACTATATGAAGCTATCAGGACTAGCTTCTTGGCTGTTAAGACCGCAGATGTGTAGTACGTGAGCATCCCGAATACTGCGTTCAGAATGGCTATCTTTGTTTCAGTTCTTATATTTCGATCGTTTCCATTAGCCATACAGCTTGCCATAATTCACTGACGCAAATCCAATATTCAATACGCCGATTAATTCTGGATCAGTGTCGGTATCATTACCCAACACAGATCCGTTGTACTTTAAATAGTCCACCTCCTCCATCCTAATTCCGTCCATAGTATCCTCAGGCCGACGATCGCAGTAGGCACTCTCATAGTCATCGTCTTCATGGCGTAGAATTGTGGTTCCGCTCCAAGAGAAATGCTGCACACCATCTCGGTAATCGTCAGTGTGCCAGTTGTAGATTTGCACAGCAACACAGTGTCATTGGCATACTCAAGGTCTGTTGGTTAGAAATACAGCTGGGTGCCTGTAGCTGCCTCGCTGATTTGCAGTTTGGCAAACGGTAATTTGGGGCTACGCTATTCCCTTTAGCACAGTCTGCCATGATATTAAACAACTTAGGAGAGAGAACCTCATCTTGACCAACTGTAATGGTAACACTGAACCTACTTGACAAAGATCCTTCAGTTCGGATGGCGGATTTTGTCCCTTCACAAGGATTCTTGGTAAGGTTTGCCATCTCTTGTGAGAGTCCGTAGTCTTGAGTGACACGCTTCATTGTGTGGCGATAAACTGACTCGAAGGCTACTGAGATGAACTGGTTAGAACTTGGAGCGTTTTGATGCGACTGCATGCAGTTCCTTCATTGCGGTATGTTTCCACTAAATGAAACTTAGTTTATCGTTAACGGCCTTGCTTTTGTGCAGACCGTAACACAATCGTTCAGGCGATCATAATGCTCGTCGGAGTTAGTCAGACGCATTTTTAGAATATTTCTCATGACCTTGTTTAAGTGGTCCCTTAGTCAACTAGCAGCAAGGGATATGTAATGTTTCAGTATAGCTATGTTTAATGAC